AAAAAAAAGTTTTGAGTAAAAAGATGATTATACAGTGGACAAAGAATTCCTCAGCGGTTAAATCATAAAAAACAAGCCAAATAGTTTAACCAGATTTACTTGAATTTAATATTAACTTAATCAAACACTATTCTGGATTTAACAACATTGGACTTGATAAATACGAATTTACTGTATTTACTAAATCATATTTAATCATACACGAAATTTCAAGATAAGGACCAACAACATTATAACGTGATAGATGAAAAAAGCTTGATAGTCTTTAAAAATGAGAGAACTTAGATGATCAGGAAAAAAGGAAAAGTGGCACAAAAAATTAAAAACAATAATCAATCACAAACTGCATGCACACTTGAAAGGTAAATTAATAGGCCACAATAAAAGCTTTAAAAGAAATCAAACATACCAGCCATAAACCCAATCATTAGGGTTAGCATTCAAAAGACTAAAAGATAGCACGACACTGCCATCCAATCCAACTGGCACAAACTCTCCCTTCCTCTGCTCCACTAACTCCTCCCGTCCTCCATTCACAAAATACTTCAAAAAAATGTTTGTAATCAACAAGCTCGCATCATTCTCCTCAACGTTGCCCACAATCCAAGCATGTCGATACTTTCCCACCACAATCCGGACCCCCTCCTGCAGATCGCTCACCCCCACGAACACAGTGTAAATCTTCCCACCGCCTAAACCCATGCATCGCCCACCTTTTCCAAGAGCTTCATCAAGCATTTCATCGACAGCCTCATCCTTGTTCCTCAACCCCAGTGAGTCAACTTCCCCACAACGCCAAAAGCACGGATCCCCCTTGCGGCTGCCACTACGCTTGCAGCCACCTTTTCCTGAATCAACCGTCACTGAGACAGCATAATTTCTCCCACAGCTTCCGCAAGTGGGGACATTCTCAATTCTTTTACCTACCTCTTCGGAGATGAGACCGGCTAGCCGATCGACGCTGTCGCCAACACTGGGGCGGAGAAAGACAGCCTGGATCCAGCAAGGAGGAGAGGGTGGCTCCGGGAGGAGGCTATTAGAAAGGGAATCGATGGAACTGAAGGGAAGCGGCGACCGGTATATTTCTGTTGATTTGAGGAGAAACGGGAGGCCTATGTGGATAAATGAAGAAAATATAAGAGAGAAGGTGAGAAGGGAGTTAAGCCCAAGTCATAGCAATTTGAGGAGAGGGAGAAGACTCACCGGCAAGGAAGGAGAAAAGGACGGAGAGGGTTACCATGAGACGCTTAATTCCTGGCATGATGAATCTTCGGCTGGAAGAGCCGCCATCTAGAGAATCCGGGTTCGGGTTAAGAGGCTCGGACTCGGAAATTTCCGCCATTGTTGGGGCAGTGTGATGCTTCGGATCAGCAAAGAAATCACTCGAGGGGCTGTTAGGCTGAAAGAGGGATTAACTGAAGAAGGATTTATGCG